TAAAATATAATTAGGTTATTAAACCAAATATAAATTACTTCGTTATTGTATCTAGATTAAATTATAATAAAAAAAATTAAATTAAAAAATTACACAAAAAATGAAGAATTTTAAATAGTTAATTTGATACGAATATCGATATATTTTTGTTATGCATAAAGTATTGTATATTGATGCATATTACTTAAAATTCAAGATTACAAGTAATTATGCATAAATACAACTTATTAAAACTCGATGTTTGAATTCGTATAAATAACTGCTGATAAACATAATCAAATAGAGGATGAACATCTCATTTTAAAATATAAAAAATCTAAAATATAATTAGAATTTTGTTAAATTTTTATGATATCTTCAAACATATATTTTATTCAAAAATAAAAACATCATTGCTTTCTCAAAATCACATAAAGCCATATTATAACATATACAAAAATAAAAAAATAAAATAAAATATTAAAATCACGATGTATCTCGTTGAATTACGCGAGTGCGCTTCTAATATATATATATATATATATATATATATATATATATAATTAGAAACAACCTTTTCATATGTTTTGATATATAATTTAAGTTCATTCTGAAATAAAAAATAATACCCTCTAAAATCATTATCAATTAAATTTCTAGAAGAGTCGGTTGTTATGACGGCGCTCATGCATATTAATAAAATAATTGATGACTTATTAAATGTTTTAAAAATATTTGTTAATTATTAAATTCGAACAATAATTATAGTATTTCTTTTACAATGATCGAGATTTTCTTATTAATTAATATGAATTTTGTTTTGAAAACCCATTAAAATCTATACTATATTACAAAATATTTGATAAAAACTCTTAAAAATTATTTTTTATAAATAAAATACTGTATATTGATGCATATTAATTAAAATTCAAGATTACAAGTAAATTATACATAAATACAACTTACTAAAGCATTATGTTTAAATGTGTAACTAACTACAGATAAACATAATCAAATAAAGGATAAACATCTTATTTTAAAAATATAAAAAATTTAAAATATAATTAGAATAATTATGAAGTTC